TTGCACAATGTTACCAACTTCTATGGTAAAGCAACATCACTTCAATAAAAAGTTTTAAAGTTTTTGAGTGGGAAATGAGTTTAGCAATACCGAGCTTGAATAGAATCTTAGTATTTTAATTAATTAATTAATTAATTTTGCTTTTTGGGTCACACCCAACAAATGCTCAGGGGTTACTCCTGGCTCTGCACTCAGGAATTACTCCTAGTGTTGCTTGGGGGACCATATGAGATGTTAGGAATCAAACCCAGGTTGGCCACGTGTGAGGCAAAAGCCTTCCCCACTGTACTATCACTCTGCACCCAATCTTAGTCTTTTAGCCCAATCTTTTCTCCTAGTGATATTGCTGCCAGCTCATCAGGCACCTTTACTTAATCCATTCTTAGACTTTTATCTAGTAATTATTTATGCTATTCAACTGAGTTTCACCTTTTTATAATTTCTACCTATTAAACCTCTCTAGGGTCACAGCAGAGAAGTACTTAAATATATGAAGACAAGAGAGAGAGAGAGAGAGAGAGAGAGAGAGAGAGAGAGAGAGAATGAAAGTGCCTGCCATAGAGCCATAGAGGCAGGCTAGGGTAGAGGGTGGCAGGAGAGAAGCTGGTGGTGGGAAATGGACCCTGGTGGAGGGATCAGGATTTGAATTATTGCATGACTGAAACCTGATTATGAACAACTTTGCAACAACTATGTGTCTCATTTTGACGCAATTAAAAATATTAAACAAAAAACAATGAAATTTTAAAAAACTTAAAACATAAAAAAGAAAAGAGAAGAATCCCCTGTAGTGTCTGTTTATTAAGGAATTGCCTTCCCCAATCCCTTATAGCTGAGCTCTAGAGTCATGTGGCCCCTAACGTAGATGCCTCAGAGACCCAGGAGCCTGTGCACAACCTTATTCCCTGGAATCACAAAACTTTTTCATTTTTCTGGTTCTAGGAAACAAGGAACTCACAGACAAATCCAAGTAATGGTAGATAGTGGAATAGCGACCGGAACTTTGTAAATTTTGTCTTTTTTTTAATTTTTATTTTTCGTTTCCTTTAAATTTAGGTGCTGTAATTTATACAACCTTTAATAAGAGAGTTTTGAACATCCACTGTTCCCTCTCCAAACCCACAACTGCCATCAACATCTCTTCAACCAAGGTTACCTTTCTCTCCCCCTGATGCCTCCTTAGCAAACTAAAAAAATTTTTTTCTTTTTGGGTCACACCCAAAGAAACTGAGGAAAAAGCAGTTTCTTTGGAAAATTCTATGGGTAAATGCAGTTTGGTGTTAAATAGTCCTCACCATGCACAGGAGTTACTCCTGGTTCATGCACTCAGGAATCACTCCTGGCAGTGCTCGGGGGACCATATGGGATCCTGGGAATCGAACCTGGGTTGTCCACATGCAAGGCAAATGCCCTACCTGCTTTGCTTTTGCTCCAGTCCCAGCAAACTAAAAATTTTAAATTAAAGTTTGGGTCATCTGTTTATAATAGCGTTGAATCTTGTGGTTTTGGTATACATAGTTACCTCATCTCTAAACCACCAAAATGTCCAAAACCCTTGACCAATGCCCTCATGTTGTCACCAGTCCTCCACATCATTCCCATTCCACCCCCTCCCCCTGGATCCTTTTTTTTGGCATTTTAACAATTCAAAAACCCAGGGCCAAGACTTTGCTAATATTAGACAAGTGCCATTTCCTAAACAGGAACCCTTTTTATAAATTGAGCGTAAGAGGAATAAAATCTTCTAGATAGCTAGGAGCTACGTGAAACCTGACGTTGGATGATGATTCTAATTCCCAGCTTTCCCCAAGGATCTCATTCCAGTGCTGCAGCATGAACACTGTCCAGTTACTCTCTAGGCTTCTCTTCCCCATTCCATTTCTCTTAGTTTCCTCAGTTATCGTGATCCTGATAGACATAAGATACTTTCTAGAAGGCACATGAGCGAACATTTTTATTTTGAATGTTAAGCATTTGTTTTGATTTGTATCTGGGAAAATAGAGATCTAAAGACAGAGCCGATTTAAGGAGAGATACGCAGTCAAGGTATGATGCTATAGCAAACATGAGGGCAGATCTGTAAGACTGAAGTTTGAGAGAACTGGATGGGCTGGTTGTCTCCCTATTTCACTCCATGTTTCCACACCCAGACACAGACTATGAGAATTCCTTTTTTAGATAGCACTTTCACACGGCAGAGTCTGGCAAACTCCCCATGGCGTACCCAATATGCCAAATACCAGTAACAATGATGGGTCTCATTCTCCTAAAGAGCCTTGAATATAATCTCAGGGCTAGGATGAAGGAGACGTTACTGGGGCCTGCTCGAGGCAACCGACGACTAACAGGATGATTTGTGATTTGTGATAGCACTTTAACCTACCGTAATAGGCCATAGACCTGCTGATTGGTTGCCCTTGGATTCAGTGTCCTTCCTTTTTTGACCCATCAGTGATTATAAATATATGTCTCATGATGTAGTCATAGGGAACCCAAGTTTTGACCCTTCAGAAGAAACTGAGGAAAAAGCAGTTTCTTTGGAAAATTCTATGGGTAAATGCAGTTTGGTGTTAAATAGTCCTCAGTTTCAATTCCATTACTCAGAGAATTGCTGCTCCCTGGAGTTCCTGAGTTGGGATTTCCATCCCTCCGTAACCTCTACCCTATTCTTCTGAGAACTGAGTATGATTGTTGGTGCAAAACTGCTTTCAAAATCATAAGGACCTCATGGGGAAAAATGTTGTCACCATTGTTTAATAAAACTCTGAGTGACATAGAGTAATGGGAATTCATGTTCCATAGGAAATGGCTCATTGTCTCTAAGAAAAGAAAAATGATTGAAGTTCTATTAACAGTTATGTGAGCACAAAGACTACTTAGTCACTTCTTAATTATGACTTTGACCAAGTCCTTGCCTCCTTGTTAAAGCGAAAGTATTTGTATCTTCTTTTCCTACTCTCAGGTTGGGTTAAGGAACCTGCATGTTACTTCCTCTCTGCCCTACTCTAATTGGCAAGAGTAGGTAACAAATGAGAAGTTTCTTCATGTTTCCTTTGTCCCTTTTGGGGGCTGATAGCCGATTTGAACGTGCTGATCCTGACCATGGCCCCCTCCTTCCATCTGAACAGATGGCGTGATTTTTTTTTTAATTGAATCACTGTGGGAAAAGTTACAACGCTTTCAGGTTTAAGTCTCGGTAATGCAATGATCAAACACCTTTCCCTTCACCAGTACTTATTTTTCACCACCAAGAACCCCAATATACCCCCCTCCCACCCCTCCCAATGCCTATCTTAACTCTATCTACGTTGATTATATTCATTATTTCGACAAAAGATGCACCATTATTGTTTAGAGTTTACACCCAACATGATGGCGTGATTTTAACCAACCCTTCAGGTCTGCTTACAACCATCAACCTGGTCCTCAGAAGCCTTTCCTCTAAAGATCTCACTACATGGAAATGAATATCATAATGTTCCATTTTATGTGTTAAGTGTTTGCGAAAACTTGCTGTCATCTCATGCTTTTGTAATAATAATTCTATATTCCCTTTGCCCTCGCCTTTATCTGTTTTGAGATGTTTGCTTTTACTTATTATTGATCTTCAATTGGCCAGTTACTCTTTGATCTTCCCCGTGGGTTTGAACTTGAATGCCACCCACACTGTCTGCCCTCAGCCCCCATCTCTCCATTAAACAGTAATGATATGTAAACAAACTCCGGAGGCCCTTGGGGAAAGAAGGGGCCCAGGAGCCAACTTCCTGGGCCTGTGAATTGTCATTGCTGTAGCCGACTGTTTTGTAAGTTCTTCTGCCAAGTTTCTATGGGAGCGGAGAGATCACTTTCTCCCTTTTCAAAGAGCAGGGTGAGCCGGGGCCTTGAGCTGGCGAAGGGCTTTTAAAATCATTTTTCAAAGGAAACCTGAGCTAAGAGACCATGTGGTTGGCAGAGGGTGGTGTCATTTTCTGAGGCGCTCACGGAGGTTTGAGGGGTCAGTTCTTATAGGCTCCCCAGCACATGTTTAAAACCTGCTGTAGAGGTTCTGCCAAGGGACAGTGCTGTCCAGCTAGTGGCCCAAGGGTTCAAACAATGACTCGGCTTCACCTCTCTGCCTCTCTGCCACCCAGGAACCCAGTGTGAACTTTCTCTTCAGGGCCTGCGGCCAGAATCACACTTGTCCTCACTGTTTTTAGTTCCTGTCAATCAACTTGATCCTTGGGGTTTCTTGAGGTGAAATAAAACTGGGTGCCAAGGCAAGTTAGGGTGAACTTATGTCTGAATCATGGAATCATAAATAATCCAGTTAATCCAATCTCCTGGACAGATTGGGAAGGGAACTCAGAGGGAAAAGACTGTCTCAAGTCACAGAAGTGGCGGCCAACTATCACCACAGCATACTTCAGACAAAGAGCACTTATGCAGGAACTGAAGGTTGCTTGGCCACTGGTCACTCACCCAGGTTCTAAGTCTACAGATGGCTGTCAATCAGATCCCAAAGAGGTTCCTAAAGCAGTAAAGCTAAGACATGAACTGTGAGCCAGAAAACTTCAAACTGCACCCTTGTTCCCTGTAAAGAGATTGTTTATGGAGCAAGGAGACTAGAGCCATCTCTCTCTCGAGAATATGCACAGGGGCATATTCTCAAGAATATTTCCCAGGGCAATTTCCCAGGGAGCAGAGGAGGGAAGGGCTCACAGACAGCTGAGTTAGAAGGACTGGAATATAGTCCTTAACATCTCAGTCTCGGGTTTAATATAAAAAGGAGGGGACCGTCCTAAAACATAGGTGAAAGGTCCACCCATAACCCCTTCCACTGGCACTCCTGATAACCAGCCTGGAGTTTCAGATCATTCCAACAGCTTCCAGTAACAAGTTCAGTCCCAGCTTTTCCACCAACCAGCAAGCCTTCTGCAAGCACTTTCCAAAAGGTTAAGAACTAGGGAAACCAGACCCACTCCAGTCCTGAATCTAAGAAAAAAAATCTCCAGTACATCAGCTTGACTTTTCAACATTTTATTGTTGTATTTGTACAGCTATATTTTACAACGCGGTAATGCAGTTTAGACACAGCCAAACCCTGTCTCCGGAGTAGTTATAACACAAGCATGACGCAGAATGTGATGAGACAAACATTCCCAAAGAGAGCTTAGTTAGTGACAACTTCAAGTCCCTGTGTCTGCCTACACTTCCAAAAGGGATGGCGCGCTTGTCCACTGTTGAAAACTTCCATGAAAAAAGGCACCGTAGGACACGTTGTACAGGTATATACAAACCGAAAACTAGAACAAAACTACACATTTTTTTCCTTCGGTAGCTTTTTTTTGTTCTTTTTTTTTTAATACACACTTTGTAAATTGTAAACCTTCACTTGCAAAAAATACAAATACACTGAGGCATTTTAGACAAAATATTTTCTTACTTATACAGATGCAATACTTAAAATATTCTCTTAAATGCTCTTTCTCAATAAAGATTCTCAGATCCGTGTCTGCCTGCAGATACAAAATCGAGCCTTTAATGCAGTTTTATATTTTTAATATATCTTTTTTAGGTTTATATATATTTATTTTATATATATATTTATATATCTACAACTCTGCCATATATTCCTTCACCTTTGGTTAAAAATATTAAAGCCCTCTCTTTGATAACATACTGAAGTCTCTTCTTTTAAAAGAATGCACATTTACATACAAAAGAAACATCTGTTCCCACAGAACATATACATTCCTCATTTTGCAGACTAAGTCAAGTCAGAACTTTTGTATACTCTCCCACTTTGATATATAAAATGAGTTTGCATTTTGCTGACATGGTTTGCCTTACACATAGGAGAAGAAGCAGTATTATTTTCTTGATGTTTTATGGCAGTGGGGAAAGAGGAGCCACTTGGCTCCGGGACCCCATGCCCTTACCCTACCCCACCCCCCGCCCCCAGTTATGATTTGAACCTAGTGGATGAAGGAGGGTACCACATCACGGGATGGACATTGTAAAGTGTTACAGTATCCTTTGGGTAGATTCTGAAAGGGGCCGAGTGGAAAGCATCAACACTCCATGCTTCAGCAGGCTTTGGGGAGCTCCGGGGGCAGGTCAGTGGCGGACACGCGGTACTGCACCTTGGTGTTGGTGATGGCACCGTGCTTCTGGCGCAAGTGCAGGCGCAGCTGGCTTTTGTGACGGAAATGCAGGTTACATTTCTCGCACTGAAGGAAAATCAGAGGGACGCCGTTAGCTGTCGTCAACCCAAGAAACCCAAAACAAAGATTCTTTTTCTTTTTTCGGTTTGTTAGGTCACACCCCGCGATGCACAAGGGTTCCTCCTGGCTTTGCACTCAGGAATTAATCCTGGCAGTGCTTGGGGGACCGTATGGGATGCTGGGAATTGAACCCGGGTGGGCCGAGTGCAAGGCAAACGCCCTACCTGCTGTACTATCGCTCCAGCCCCCCCAAAAGGATTCTTGCAGAGAGCGAAGAGTAGTTCTTCCCTCTTGAAGAACAGATTAAAGACCCCTCTGAGCCCTGACTTCTGTAAATTACTCTGTGGCAGAGTCCCTTCCCTAGTTTCCAAGTGCCACTCACACTTCACCCCCCCCCCCAAGATGAACTTTCCTGCTTTAACTCTACACAAATTCCAATCGTATCGTGAAATGCAATTCAAATGAAAAGCTCTCCCAAATTATCAAGACTTCCCTATATATCTCCAGGAAGAAAATAATCTCTCTTTCCCTTTGGATGTCTGCAAAATTCCTGGCTTTGTCACATACATACGCATTGTATGTTTTGGCATCCTTATCAGCTCGGGAATGCTTTAAGGACAATGGCCTCTTTTTGTTGAACTTTATCATCTTCCTAGTACCTAACAGAATATACCTCTTAGGTATATTGTGCAATATATTGATTATGCAATGACTGTAAACATATTTGGACAAATAGACTAGGCCAGTTGGATTTATGAAAACCAAGGAGTCTAGAATATGCTTTTTAAAAAAAATGCAGTTATAGTCCTTCACAGTGTACACACCTTAGATCAACTAAAATGGCATTAGTAATTAATGGTGTTTCTCAGTGTGACTCAATTAAAAAATTTAACTTAAAAATTTAAGTTGTAAAGTGTCTTAAAAGTCAAAGGGATAACTAACATAACATGATAAAGTCAATGAGCTCTTAGAGCACACCTGAAAAAAGATGCTTTGGGATTGAAAAGTAAGAAAATACAAATAAAGCACAGCCTTTAGTATATAACGCTAATTAAAATGTTAACAACAGGTGAAATGGTACACTCTGTATTGTTTGCAGTTTTGCTATAAATCTAAAACTAGTCCCAAATGACATATAGAATAAATGCTTCAAGAGAATATTTTTTAATGTTAAAAAATTTTTAACTAGGAAAAAATGGGTGGGACCACTAGCAAAAAGAAGCCTGGTGTGGAAATATTTTTGTGACCCTCTCTGTTTCCCAAACACTTCATTTCTCTTCCTGGGTCTTGGCTTATCCTTCCGTAAGGGACTAAAATCAACACACACTGAAGGTCACACTTAACTCTCACTACTGGGCATCTAAACTTCGAGCAAAATTTTTAATAGCAAATACCTATGTACTCATATTATGTGCCAAGTACTATCCAAAACATTTCAATGAAATCCTTACTACAACCATCTCGTGAGTTAGATTCTAGTTTCAGGTGGATATGTCGATAGATATTTCCCCATTCACGGTCCTATGAACCTGAGCAAACAGTTCTACTACCCCACTCTCTCACACTCTACCCTCCCAGGCCAGCCAGAGATCCAAAGAGACCCACATACATGGTAAGGTTTCTCTCCTGTGTGGATTCGCAGGTGACTCTTCAGAGTCTGAAGGTGCCGGAAACGGGTGCCACAGATTTCACAGGGATAGGGCTTCTCGCCAGTATGAATGAGCACATGGGCGCGGAGGTGGGCCACCTGCAAGGAATAGCATGGCATGAGAGATTCTGCCTGGGTGGGCTACAGAACCCGACCACCATGCTGTCAGAGGTAGTGGGGTCCTTGCTCCAAGTCTCGGCTCACCTGCACAAATCTGGCGCCACAAGTCTCGCATTTGTAGGGCTTCTCTCCAGAGTGAATTCGAGTATGGGTTTTCAGGTTGGCTGGCCGGTTGAACTGGGCCCCACAGATGTTACAACGATAGGGTTTCTCACCTAATATATATATATAAAAAAGGGGGGGCATGTTCAACAGAGCATTTCTTCACATTTCCTGTCCCTAGATTTCTGAGGAAACTGCCCTTCCTGGGTGGAAGGGGCATTTCCTTGGAAGATGTCCCCCAAAAGAGGCAGGGACCTGGCTTCCAGCTCTCTCACATCTATACAAGGCTTACAGAGGGTGGCTCGGATATGTGGAATGATGCCCAGAGAGGAACAAGGAGAGGACTTTGGGAAACTTAGAGGGTGGCTCTGTCATCAGGATTTTCTAACTGAAGGATCTGGACAAATCACTCTTCTTCTCTAAGCCACAGTTTCCCTCCCTAATGTGAAAGACAAATTTAAATGAACTAGGAAGACTTTTCTCACCCCTTGCTTGGGTAAGATTCATTAGGTAATCAACCCACTCAGGAGGGAAAAAGATACAGTCAAGCTCCTCTGGTTTCTGTGTTATAGAACATGCCTCTTGTTTTTTCTTCCTTGTGGTCAACTACAGCTGGATTTCATTTCCAAGAGAATGAGACCTGAATTTTAGCAGATGCTCAGGCAGAGGAAAACTGAAGGGCTGGGACTGCCTTCATGGGAAGGACTTGGGATAATGGATCCATTCAAAATGCTAACAGCCTCAACACTGGATGAAAAAAAAAATCACATTCTTAAAAGCTTCCTGGAAAAAGGACTGTGAGTTGATAAAGAAATAAACTCACGGGGTAGGGGGAGGGGCATGAAGGGAAAAATTATTTTAAAATATTTTTATAAAGGCCCAATGTGTTTTCTCTCCATCTGCCTCCACTTATTCCACTGAACTGTGGGATGAACGTTTCTGACCCCAGCAAAGAAGGAGAAGCAGGACAGAGCATCTCAGAGGAAGGCAAAGATGACAGGGCGTGACCAATCAGCAGAGACAGGACAGGGCGAGACCCTCATTTCAGGCCAGGACGGGGCCTGTTCCCTGCCTCACCCGCTCAGGTACCAGAGAGCTCCATCCTGCTTTCTCTAGGATCCCCTCCCTGTCCTGCCTCCTCAACCCCTGGAGAGCCCAGGTGGTGTGGAGCAGGGCCATACCCGTATGGACGGTCTTGTGGCTGGCGAGGTTGCCCTTGTAGCGGAAGGAGGCCTGGCAGCGGTCACACTTGTAGGGTTTGTCACTGTGGGTCTGCAGCGTGTGCCTCTTGAGGGAGGCCTCCTCAGAGAAGCGGCAGTCACACTCATTGCAGAAGAAGGCCCCGTTCTCTGTCAGAGGGTGGGAGGGGGACACCAATGTCAGCACGAGGAAGGAGGTAGGCAGGCAAAGCCTGTCTCCTCTGGAGCTACCCCTGGTGCCAAAGTGAACCCTCAGCCCACCCTCCCTCCAGCCCCATCCTCCCCATATTCCTAGAAACCCAAAGCAAAGGGACACCGGGAATTTTATTTTTCTAAGCACTTGAGTTTCAGTTATGGAGAAGAAAGGAGACAGAGTTGAATATTAAGGTTCAGAAGGAAAGCTCCAACCAACAGCTCCAACCCACACGGGCTACGTCAGCTTGAAGAAAGCTACACAGGCTTAGTTCTTACTTCTCTTGAGGGCTCTGTGAGCTCACTTTTCTTATCAGTTCATAGTTTTGCTTACACTGATGCACAGAAGTCCTTGGGCAAGACCCTTCACCTCCCTGTGTCTCTATCTCCAAAATCAGGATTAAAAAAAAATCCCTGTCTTGCCTACCTCATAGGAACATATTGTATAACACAAAGCATTATAGGAATGTAAGATAGAAATCAAATTCAAGGCTACTTTGAAGTCATTGAAGGAGGAATTAATGATGAACACGGTCACCCTGGCAACTATCTGGATTCCATGTCTCCCAAACACTTCTGAGACTGGGACACCAAAGATGATGACAGAAATAGAAACAGAAGCCCAGAGAGAAGGAACTGGAATGCAGAATAAAGGCAAATGGCCAGGGGGACAGACGGGGACAGTCCCTGTTCTCCCAATTATAGGTTGGTGACCCCTTGTGAAATCTCTCTGTGTGAGCCGCTGATGGATTTTCCTTACTTATAACAACTTGAAAAATTACATGGTATAATGGTTCTTTAACCCTACTAGACATTCTTGGGATATAGTCCTGTGTTCAGAGCTGGGGGAGAGTTGAGACATTTTATCTGGTCAAACTGGGGTTGCCAATCACAGACAACCCAGAAACTTGTTTAATGTTGTGTTTCACAGGTTGAATTCAACTGACTTTAAGTATTTACTCTATGTTGGGAACTCATGTGAAACTACAAGAAACCCAGGAATGAAGTTTTTCCCTTATAGAATCTAGGCAGCACACAGGTTAATACCAGTTACTTGGATCCAGAAGGACCAAGAAGTTTCTGGAAGTTACAGCCAGCATCACAAACTATCTTTTCCAGAAGGCAGCAGAAAGATTGTTTGGCCAATCCTTTCTACCCTAGATTAACTATAGCACCCTATCCTTTACTAGGGTCAGCCTAATTTTTGATTGGTCAAGAGTGGGGTGATTGACTGGTGGTCTTAAGCACCAATGGACTTCCCACTGGCTCCCAATCAGAAATAACAGTATCCATAAAAGTGGATGCATAAAACCTGGAGAGGCGGGAGCTTCCCTCTTCTAGGTAAGAGGAGGCAGGAAGGGACTCACCACAGCTGGAATCCGAGTACTCGGAGTGGGTCTCTCCCATCTCCTCGGGGAAGGCGGGCCCGGCGGTATGAAGACACATCTCCGTGTGCTGTGGGGACTGAGAGCCGCAGGATGTACACTTGGGGGGGTGCAGGTAGAGCGGTGAGTGGCCCTCGCTGCTGCTGCGTGGAGAGCCTGTCAGGGACCTATGTGGTAGGAAGACAGGGTCTCAGCAGCTGCAACAGGTGAATCATTCCACCAAATCCTATCCCTTTCCCTCCTCCTTCTTCTCAAGCAAAGTCAGAGGAGAGGCCAGCGCCAAGCATCTGAGGTCACCTAGTGACCTGCACACAACACTTGCTTGGGGGTTCACACTGAGCCCAAACACCCTAAATCTCAACTCAACTTCTCCCCATCAGACCAGAAAGCCATAAATTCTCTTAGTCTAAGGCAAGTATGAGCATCACCCAGCCACACCAGCATCACCGAAGCTACCTCTTGGTAGGCTGTTCTACCACAGAGGGAATCATGCATGGTATGAAAAAAGAAATATCCTCAAGTTTAGCATCCTCCCTTTTTAAGGCGAATTCTTCAACAGGCGTTTCCATCCCACCCCACATCTATAATAGGTGTAACACTAGAGTCTAGGAAAGAACTCAGCCCCCACAAGTAAATGAAGTGACTCTGGAGCCTGGTGCAGACCTCGATCAGGAACTTACCTGTTGACGATGTTGTTGAGCCGGCTAGCCTGGGGGATGGTGGAGTCCTCCCCGCTCGTGCTGAGCTTGGTTGGGGACTGAAGGTCAAGGTTCTCGGGCTCCATGGGTGGCTGGCATGCCGAGGGGGCGGCGTAGCTCCGAGGGGAAAGGCGGCCCAGCTCGGTCTGCTCGGCTCCCTCTGGTTTGGCGTTCTGGTTGAGGTTGTTGAGCACAATGAACTTGTATTTCTTCCAGTTGCAGGCTTTGGGGTCAGTGGGGCTCTTGGCTGGTGGGGAGCCAGAGGCCTGGAGGATGCAGGCATTCTTGCTGCTGCAGGACTCTGTCGGTGAGTTGGGCTGGCAGTCAGACTTCTGGGGGCTCTGGGGACTAACCAGACCCTTCCGGTTCAGTGGTGCGTTGGGGGGCTCGAAATGCAGGGCAATCTCATCCTCAGAGGAGGGCCTCTCTTCATCCTTGCCACCCTTGTCACAGGGGAAGTAGGGGACGTTCCGGACTGAGGGGGCGGCAGGCTTGGGGCCCTCTGCCACGGTGTAGTGCATGTCACTCCGTGCCTCCTCAGAAGCCACCTCCTTGGGCGAGTAGATGTTGCTGTGGCACATGCTTGGGGATATCTCCATGGCTGGCCGGCTGTACTCACCAGGGATTGGCCTGGCACTGTCGCAGGGGAGGGCCCGCTCCTTGGGGAAGGGGTTGGCCACAGGCATCCGGGCATCCCTAAGCTCCTCATCAGAGAAGAGGAAGCTGCTGACAGGGAGGTGGCTATACACGGGATATGAGGCTGGCGGTGTCGACAGGCCGCCGTACAGGCTGGGGGCAAAGGCTCTGCTTTCACACCCATTTCTTGGTGGGGGGAGGCTGTTCTCCACCATCTCCCGACTCCGATAGGCCATGATGTCTTGGGGCATCAGCATCCGGCTGTTCAGGAACTCCTCCCGAGGAGGCTTGATGGCAGGGACCATTTCTGCTTCACTGCCAGAGACAAAAGCAAGGATACATTGAGGACCAAATCAGAACTGGGAAGCAGATGGCCTTCCTAGGCTCTGCTCTCTGGAACCTCATTCATGCAGGGGTTGGAATGGGGACGCCTCTCACATCCCAGTCTGGATGCCCCAAGTCTAGAAATACAGCCCACAGTTTGAGGAACAAAGTGAGTTACTAGCGCTTCCAGAAACAGTACCTTGTATGTTGAAGTCACATGTGTGTACACAGGCATCTAATTCCTCAGATTTTATAGACTGTCAAAGCTTCGATAAAGCCTGCAGAGGCCATTTCTCATTTCACCCATGAGAAACCCCATGAGGAAGGAAAGGTGAGCAGGGTTGCCTCCATTCCCCATACACAGGATCAGAGGCTTAGCAATGGGAGACCCCTGCTTGGACTGCTGGCATCATGCTTTGTAGAAAGCCTGGAGCCTAGTCGGGACCATCCCGCATGCTGTCTGGACTCCCAGGGAAGTCTGTCTTGGAAAAGCAGCACCAACAGTGCCGGGATAAGAAAGCCCCTTGGCTCTAGAGTTGCCACACCTGGTTTCTAAGTCCAGCAGTGCTACTAAGCAGTATGACCCAAAGCAGGTCACTTAACTGCTCCGGACTCCAGGCCTGCCCCAGAGCACCTTTCAATAATGGAGTGATGATCCTACCCCATGATGATGACCTACAGGCCACAAAGAGCTCAAGCTACACATGTTTATCAGGATGGGATGTGGGCAGAAAATAGGCCAGATCAACAGTTAAGCGAGCAAGATCCAGTGAGTAAAGATAAAAGATGATCAACTTTAACTCATGATGTAGAGAAACTCTTTGACTATCCAAGGCAGATAATGTGGTGCTGAGAACAATGAACTCCTCCGGGATCCTGGATGTTCAGAGGCTAGAACTTATTTTATTTCAGAAGGAATATATGTATTCCAGAGCTGCCAAATAAGACATCTCTAAAAATTCAACCGCTAAATCTGTTCCACTCAGTAAAGTGCCTTATTTCTTTGACTTTTTGCTTCCTCACCTTAAAATGATGGCCATGGCTTAAACACTCTTGAGTAGGGGATTAGAACCAGTGATCTCAATTTAATTTAATAAATTTCCTCCAGTCTTGTAGGAGAATGGGTGACAGAAAAATAATTGAAGTGGCCTACAAACTCGATGGGAACTAAAGCACACATATATAGTCAGTCAAAACAGAAGTACAGAGAACTAGAAAATAAATGCAAATAGTGAAGATAGAAAGAAGGTCTGAAAGTCAGGAAAATTGCTTCCAACCACAGAGGAAGGGCTAACAGAGGAAAAATGATCCCCAGACACACACTGATGAAGGAGTTGGCATTTAAGTTTGTGAGAATGTGTGGAAGAAAAGGTATAGCAAGTGGAAGAAATCAAAAAGGCAACAAGGCACTGGACATGTCTGAATTGCAGTAGATCTCAAGTTTGCTGGGAGTATAAGACTGGAAAGGGCACAGGGTGCAAAACTAATTTTGCTGTTGTGGTACATCATCAAGGATAATTTTTCTGTACCCATGCATCATGCAGGCTCTCTGGTCCCTTTCATCTCCAAGTCTGACATCTAGGAGGCAGCTCACCTGGCCTTGATAAACTTCCGGCACGTGTCCACAACATGTTCCATCTGCAGGTACATAGCAGTGGCCATCACAGCCATGATATTTCCTTCCCGCAGATTGAGCCGGGATGTGTACATAAAGTCCAGGAGGATGCAAAACCCCTCGGGATTGATCTCCGGATCCAGATTGATCACACTTAGGTTGCATTTCAATTGGTCTGTGAAGATGCTGTAGAAGAGGCCACTGAGAAATAAAAAACATGACTCAGTTTTACAACCATATAGAATCTGGGGCTTTGGTGTGATCAGTATGGAAGCTCAGCCCCTCTCCTCTGGGGCTAGCTCCAGAACTTCCATGGCAATTACTAACAGCTTAGAAAATGTCAGCAAGTCATTAAGCACTTAACATGCATTATTGTGAGTTCCCCACAACCTTGAAAGGTAGATACTATCAGTTTCCTGCTTTAGGAGGGGGATCAGAGAGGTTAAGTGGTTTTCTCAAACTTACAGAAGAGTTTTCCATTTAACCTTAACTGCATGGATTACCAAAACATTAAAGTCATCACTTACTTGCAGTAACTATTTTAGTCTATATAATTTCATTCCTCTATTCTTAAAATCTGATTGCATTGTTTTAGAAGCAAGTTGGGAGTTTCTACAAATAAGTAAATGAATTGATACCGACATCGACTGTCTATTGATTCCCTAAAAGCTCATAGACTATCCAAAGATCAATATTCCAATTTCAGGCCTTGACTCCTGACTCCAGGAGTCTGGTAGAAGGAAAAATACTCAGAAGACAGAGTTCTAGGCTTGATCATCCTGGTTCCACTCTTTCTGAGCTAGGTATCCTTGTAAATTTAAAATAGGAACAACCCTGAAAGGGTTGAGGCCAGGAGAACAATATGAAAAATACAGAATAATGTGCGACACACATAGCAAACGTCCTGGTAGTATTTTCACTAGTTTTATATCTCTGCAAGGATTAATTTTGCCACTGCAAGTAAACACAGTGCCTGATGTACATGTTGAGTAAATTTTCTGTGAATTTTGTCTGCCTGTGTCTTCATTTTATCATCTGTAAAATGGAAATAATCATGCTGCCCATACAATGCATGGTTACTGTGAATATCCAAGGAGATTGTTGGATATTCATGCAAAATGCCTCTGAACAACTGAACTACTCGGCAAGTATGAAGAATTAGCTGGCTCATTCTCATGAATATTTATATACTCTGATACATTCGTGCAAATAGAATTGTAGCATATAATAAATAATTGCAAAATAAAAGGGCAAAAGTTCTCAGCGTAAACTGGATACATTTCCTTTCTTTCTTTTTCAGTTCTAGGCACTGAATCCAGTGCTTGACGTACAGTGAGACACGTGTTCAACCCCCAAGCCACGCCCCAGCCCACATAAACTATTGCACAATTCTCCCTTGAATTTCTTTTACTCATTAGTTAACTAAAGTTGCTCTCCATATTTCCCCCCAAACACATCCTCAAAAGAGGCAGTATATGATTTCTTCTCCTTCTATTCCCACAGAACAGAAACTCTTTCTCTGAGAACAGTAATGTTTATTTATTCACTTCCTGGAAACCCACTCTGCCAGGTCATGCACTGAAAAACTGAAGACACATGCAAAGTGATTCCCCAGCACAGCAAAAGCCTGTTTGGTCCTCCTTAGTCAACCCTTTCGTTCATCTACCTTTCTCTTCTAGACCCTCACCTGCAGGCCATGAGGACTGTCTTATGGGCTCTAAACTGCTCACGGCTCACCACTATGACAACATCAGTCAAGATGTCACGGCTCCGCAGGCGGTTAAGGTTGAGAAGAACGTCACTGGCATGGCGGGTGAACTGGATACAGCTGTCAGCCGGTGAGGCCATTTTGTCTTCACCTGTAAAACATAACGGGAGTGGGGGGGGGGGGGGCGCTGAATCAAACTCCTGTTAGCCCTGCACAACCTGTTTCCTGCTTGCCAGGTGGCCCAGCCTGTTAGCACAGGTAAACTGAGTTCTCCTGAATTTAGTCTTTGAACAACTCAAGGAGTCTCTGGACGTTGGAATAGTGGGGAAATGGGAAGCAAGTGAGCATCCATTGAGTACTTTTGCTACCTGCCAGATTCTGTGCCAATACTGAGAGGCAGTGAGCATCTTATGGGGGAGAATAATTATGCTTGGAGGCTAGCATGCCAGCTTTACCTTTGCAAACTGTGTGGCTTGGGGCAGGACATTTACTCTTTCTGGGCTTTGTTTCCCCAACATGGCAGTAGTAAAAGCTATGTTTGCTCCATAGTAAGGTCTCAAAAATTGCAGTCATTCCGGGTCATCTGTCTCTGTCCTTTCGAATGAATGTACCTTGAGCATGTAACTCGCTGTCAGTAGCTAAATTAACTAGCACTAAGAAATGAAAAAGGAAGGAGTGGTGACACAATATTGTTAGGCTAGTCTAATACAGAAGTGATGGGCAAGGCTTGGAAGTGATAAACAAAGGAATGACTATCTTTTATCTCATCTAATGGAAAGTGCAAGCAGAATCACATACACAGGCAAATTCCAAACAAGTGTTTGGAAAGCACCAAAAGTGATACTTACCCAAGGCCTAGATTCACAGTCCAAAATTTTGCTTAAAACCTGCAGGGAAGAGAAGAAAGGAGACAGAAATTGATTTAAGTGAATATGAGATTGTCCACTATAGTTTTATTTTAGGACACATGTATTTAGTTTTATTTTTGATAGTGGCAGGTCTGCCAGCTGGTATGGTTTTGCCACTAGCTAGCAAACATTTCTCCAGGCCCTACTTGTCTGGAAACTGGCACCCAGAACTATGCAATAATAACGCTTCTAGACTGTGTACTGGGAATATAACTGCATACATTAATTACACATAAATATATACATATTTCTTCTTTCAAAGCAAAAAACAATTCCATCCAAAGGTCACTAGAGTTTATGGAAAAGAAAAAAATAAGAAAAGTGGTTCTTTTAGTACTAATGACTATGGGTTTGGGAGACCTGAAAACACTGGATTTTTTAAAAATTAAAACTCGTTAAAATACTATCTTACAAGTCTTAGACTGATTCCAAAGGTCAACAGACTCAATGCCTTTAGCTCTACTTCTCTGGTGATCAAACTCAGACTCAGGGGTTTGCTCAGGACCAACAGCCAGGTAAGAGTTCCCGATACTCTGAAACATTGAATACAGAACCAGCACACCACCTAAGATGGCATGCCTACACTTTTCTTGAGAATCTTTGCTTTCTTTTTCAAAGCTTCTTCTCCCTTCCCTCCTGGATCTAAGACCAGGTAGAGTGAAGCAAACTTCCAAGTTTGTGCTCTCCCTGCTAGTGGTTTAACTATGTGGTTTAGCTGAGAACTGGCCGGGGAGCACTCCTGCAATATGTACCCTTTCCAAATGGCTTTCTCTGAAACAAAATCATTTAAAGCACAAGTGTAAGACTCTCATACATCATCCTACAGGGGCTGCAAAAACAAGCAATACTTAAACTCCTTTTAAATTTGTTCCTGTTTGCTGTTTGGGGCTCATACCCAGTTGTGATCTGGGGCTATTCCCAACAGTGTTTGGAGGGGACCACGCTGTGCCAAGGATTGGACCCAGGCTTCCCACAGGCGAAGCATGCGCTCTAGCCCTTTTAGCCATCTCCCTGGCCCCCAAGTCCCCCCCCTTTAAAGAAAAAAGGCATAGTCCTTGTGAGCTCTTTTCTGGGTAAAGGGCCCGGGGCCAAGGAGGTCATGTTAGGCCACATAGATGGTTCACGGCCCAGTCCTAGGTCTCCTGGCTCAAATTCCTGTCCCTTTTCCAAATCAGCCTACGTGCTGTATAACATGCAAAACAGCACCCTGATGTGGGTGAATCTCATTTTTAAGTTCCTTCCCCGACACAAACACTTTGCCCCCATTCCAGGCTGCTGAGTCTTACCAAATGAGCACTCTAAATGAGAGGTTTCCTTGAGTCTGTAACCAAACACTCTGACATTTCTCTGTGGTCCCAAGTGCCAGTCACTCAATCCCATCGGCTTCAAGGTTAGTGTGTGCATGTGAGTGAGTGGGGGTGGGGAAGAAAATGGGGGTGGGGGGTGGAAGGGAGAGGACAGAAGAAGACGAAAGAACCTATTTCCTCCTCTCCCCAGCCTAACACAAGAGGGGCCAAGAGAGACACACCACATTGTTCCAAACCAAGTTCAACGATCGTCTCCCTTTGAAGAATGCTTAAGAGACATGTGAGACTTATTTATAAACCTCTCCTCCCCGCCCCACCCCCCTCAAGGACAAGATTTCTAAGTGCTTCTGGAATACCTAAGTCTGTCCTATAACCAGCTCCAACCACCGGCTTGCTCCTGGCCTTCCATCGGCAGGCATTTAGAACCACAAGAATCCCAGATTTGCCATTTCACCTTGACAAGTAGCAGTGACTCATGCCAGATTCGAATGGAAACAAACAATCCCGGAGTCTACAGGAGACTGGGCGGACACTTTTCATCCCAAACCTCTGCCTGGTCTGGCCGAAAACAAATGCATGTAACAGGAGGCCTTCTTCCCCGTTACATCCACTTCTTCCTAAATGAAATCTGTTTCAGGAGGCTCCACGCGAGCGCGTGGGATAGAGGCAGGTGGGCGAAGGGACTCTGCTGCAATATTTTGGGGGAGGCTTTTTTCCAGACCACTCAGCTCTGGGCTGTCTATCACTGTATGGACTCCTGCGAACAGCCTCGATTTACCGGGGAGGACACTGAGGTTCCAGAGGACAGAAGCCTTGCCCAAGAGCTCTACTTCCCAGCCAAGTCCCGGACAAGCCCTGTCTGCAAACTACTGCCGTCACACCAAAGCCACACGCCAGATGCGTTCCACAAAAACCACCACCTAGAGAGAGCGCGCGCAGGGCAGTCGTCGAGGAGAAATTGACAGGAGTGCCACCCGACCTGGACACCTGCACCCCGCCCCAGCGACCGCAGGGCAACCACCACGGGAGACTTAACCGTTTTCTCCACCCCCCCACGCACTTGTCTATCTCTTGCACTTTCCCTGCGTGTTTCCAACCCAGCACCTTCAGGGAAGACACAGCCTTTGGAAAGGAGCTAGAAAAGATTAAGGGCCATCCCACCCTCCACTCCCCGCAATGCCCCCCTCTCCCCCCAAATAAAGGATCGCAGAGAGAGAACATCAAAAAGGAGAGGGACAGGGGAGGTGAGTGGAAAAGAGCGAGCTGAGGTTAAGAGCCAGAGGAAGCGACAATACCAAAGACCCTATCCTTTCCCAAGCCTCCTTCTACTGTCTCACAGCCACAGATGCGAGCCCCGGTACCCGGGCAAGTGGAGCGCACGTTCGCTGCCCTCCCACCCCTTCCCCCCACCCCAGTACCTGGCTGCCAAGGACCGCCCACCCCCGGGCCTGGCGCCGACACCGCAGCGCATCCGCCGCAAGCCCCAGGGAGAAGTGGTGGACGTCTATGCCCGAAGCGACCTTTAATTCGGTTATATTCAAATCAAACTTTTTTTTTTTTTGGTGCGCCCCGGTGGCTAACATTAACTGACGCCCGTTCTGACAGCGGGCCGTGAGGGGAACTGGCACGGCCCTCTCATTCCCGGAACGGAGTGGCTCTCGGCTCAGCGGATTTCACAGAACACGCGCGGCCCACGGCAGGCTCCAACCAGAAGTAACTTTCCAGGAAGCTGCCGGGCCCCGCCGCCCCCGACTGCCGCCAGGATCCCGCCCGAGCCGCGTGGACGGCGGAGAAAGCGCGCCGGGAGCGCAGGGGTGCAGCGGGGACACACTTTCCCCGGAGGTCCTGGGCCCCGCACTGGCCGGACCTCGCGCGGGACAACTGGTCTACCCTGTCCCCCCAGCAACTGCTCTATAGAAAGGGAAAGTCCGAATGCAAGTTCGTGGCAGCGCAGCTCTGTCATGTAAAAGTGCAAGTCCCTTCCCAGACTCATCTCTTGATTTCAAACGGCCCCAATTTCAGACGTTGCCAGGTGCGTCGGGCTCCCACTTTCTCCTGCGCACCCCACCCCGCCCCGCTCTATCCTGTCTGTTTGCCGGAACCCTCACCCCCACCTCCAGCCCCACCTCCTCTTTGGTAAAAATCGGGTAGCTAGGCAAGGGGCCAATGGTTGAGGGTCTCCATCCAGGGAGCCCTGGATCGAATAGGAGAAACATTAAAGCGAAAGTCCCTTTTGCCACCTTTGGCCAAGAAGGAACACCCAGCTCCGCTCCGGTTTCTGCCCCAAGATGATTTTTTTTCCTTTCTTTTCTTAGAACTAGGTGCCGCCAGGCCGAACCTGGCCAGCTCTCGTCATTTCTGAATTCTATTTCTCGGACAAGGTTAGGATTCGGCATCAGACAAGGTTAGAACCCCCCCAGCGCGCGCGAGAGAGCGCTCTGAGGTTGCTTTGCCTTCGCGTGGCCTTCTCCGGAACTGCAAGGGACTCAACTCCTAATTGCTCTTGGAGGGGGTGCCGGGGTGGGGCGGTTACTCAGGGAGCCGCTCTGCAGCCGGGAGCTGCGGGGTGGAGGGAAAGGCGCTACTTCTAACGCCTCCACCCGCTGTCTACACTGGGCGGGTGGAGTCCCCCCGCGCGCAGCGCATCCCTCTGCTCGAGGCGGCGTCTCTGACCAGGGCTTTTGCAGACTGGGCCCTCTTCCGCCGGCCTGGAATCGTACTCGGAGGCTTTCTCATCCCTTTTTCCTCGGGAGCATAGTGGTGAGAGCGCAGGTCGAAATGTTGTACGGGATGGGGGCGAGAGTCGAGAAAGCCAAGTGAGAATGAAGGGAGACGCACTTCGGGTCAATTCTGAGTCCCGAGGGTCCGGGAGCGCCGACCTCCTCCTGTGCTACAGCTGCCGGACACTAGAGGGCGCCCCCGGTCAAGGCTTGAAACCGGCCGGGCCCGGGTCGCCCCGCCCCTCCTTTCCAGTGACCTAGTTTAGACCGTCTCGGGATTGGGAGGACGCCCTTCGCCCTTCCCCTTCTCCCCCTCTGCTCCATCCCGGCCGGCTTGGGGATTATTGGTAATCTAATAACGCCAACAATTCGCCGAGAAAAAAAAAAAGCCAAAATAGGAATTTCAAAACAGGGGTGAGGCACGGAGACGCAGACTTTTAATAAAGGCTGGAGCTGCACCGTGAAACACGCATCCCAGGCTCCCTCCCGGGCGCTCCTTTCCTCCTCCTTAGCGGCTCAGCTGAACAAACTGCTGGGGTCGCTCGGGTGGGGTCCAACCTTGGACTCAGTTTTCTTTTTTTTTAATTTAAGCCAGTGAACACGTTTCCCGGCCGTGACGGAGGAACGGGAGTGTTGGGAGACGGGAGTCGAGGACAGCGAATTGGAGAACGCAAGGGCCTCGGCACTCGCTTTGGGGACACGATGTCCTGACTTTTCATTTCTATCACGTTCCCTGCCAACAGCACTACTGCAAGCCTGCAAACTTCTAGGAAACGCAATAAACGAGAGGGCTGTGTTTTATCATCAGGATCTGAAGGGGAGCTTGCAGAGGGGAACGCTCCCCCCATCCTATCCCCCCCCACCAACCACCCAGAGCCCAGCTCGTGACACAGCCTGCAGAAAACGCCAGGCTATCAGGTCCCCTAGCAGAGACAGCTTGGTCATCCTGGATGGGCCAGGCCCGGCCTTGCCTTCGCAAAACAAAACAAAACAAAACAAAAATAAACGCCTGGAGGAGGGAGCGGCTTGACCTCTCCAAGCCAATAATGCCTTTAAAAAAAAAAATCCAACGTGGACAGAAGTGTCCGCCAAGGTCTTGATTCGCGTCGGTGAAGACGGGAGGCACTAACTGTCCTTGGGAAGCGATGAGTCAAACTTGACCGTTCTTCTAACACGTCCCCGGATTCTTCTCCAGCGCGAACAGAGGCTCGTTTCAGCGAGCGGCGGCCTCCCCGGGCGGCGCCCCGCGAAGGGCGGGACCGAACCGAGCCGGGGGCCGAAACGCAGCAAACCCGGGAGAGCGCGGCGGCTCCCGCAGGGACCGCACCGGCCGCCGCCGCCGCTAGGGGCCGCCAGCGAGCAGCCGCGCGTTTGCCATCTTAAGGCTGGTGCTCTGGGAAAGAAAACTTTTGCCCAGGACAACTGTCGTGGCACATAGGTTCCACGGGACTGCACTCTGCGTCGCCATCCGACCTCCGTCTCCCCGCCGGCCCCCGCATGCACATGCACGTGCACACGCACGCACCGGGTTCCTTGCCAAATTTGCAGAGAAGGGGAAGAAAGAAATGGGGTATTTTCAGGATCCCAGGCCGAGCCTAAGGTCACACAGCACGGGTGCACCGCTACAAGGGTGGGGGTCGGGCTTTAAATGCCCCCCAACGTACTACACAACACATCCTTCGGATCTAAGACACACACAGTCCTAACAGCTGGTTGTTGATGTGACCGAGAATCTTAAGACCACACTTTCTAAACAGATTTCTCCAAGACAGCCAGAGAACCTGCTCCAAACTGGTGGTGACCTAAGAGGGTAAAAACGGGCTCTGACCGCCGCTCCTTTCTCTCAGATGCCTCCTCAAGGAGCCGCGATCAAGTTGCCTCGGACTGGGTCTGGAATTCAGAAGCTCGCATTCTGGACCCGGTTAGGTCACTGAGCTTATTGGGTTAGTTTCCTCAGCTGTCAAGAGTCGTCTGTCCTAAGGGCCCGTGGCAAGCTTCCATTACCAACTTCTTTCTCCCCAGGTGAGGTCACAGGGACAGACAGGGCAGCTTGCTGTGTGCAAGGCTATTTTTTTGGTTCTTTTAGGGGAGGCAGGAGTTGTCTGTTACTGAGCGATCCAGGAAAGGGACCGGTCATTCGAGGGCGGGTAGGGTTTACTAAGTCACCAAACTTTTGGTGATGACACTTACTGGCGGGGGGGGGGGGGGGAGGCTCAACTCTGCGCTAGCACAGCCCTGATACTTAGGCACCAAGGGTGACACGGTCAGCCCCGACCCAAGGGGCGAGGAGCGCAGCTACGACCCACCACTAGGGGGCAGGCTCGGCCCGTCCGAAAATCACTGCGCAGCCACAGCCTTCCACACCCAAAGACCCTCAATCTTTGAAGGGGGTGATGGTGGGGGGCGAGGGGGGGAGGGGGCTTGTTAAAGGATGAGGCGGCTGCCTCCAGAGTCAAAAATGGAAAACATTAAATGTACTAGTTGTGATCTTGATCTCTCTGAGGCTCTAGCAGCCACACAGCGGTATCTGGAGCTGTGTTCCTGTGCTCTGCGTGAATTTTTTTTTTTTTTTTAGCCCGAAAGGCTGAATGTAAGTAGGAGAGAAAGGACGCACTTGTCTCCAAAAGAAAAAAGAAAAAGAAAAAGCGAAATGGCACTCGAATGGAATGAGCAGAGATTCCTGCCAAAACATCAGTCAACGTGCAAATTAAAAAACATTAAAAAAAGAAATAAATCAGCAACGACAACAGGAATAAACTGATGGCCCCGGAGGAGAAAGGCAGGGACTCCCGAGACCCAGGACAGGGTCCAAGCCGGGCTGGAGAATGCTAGGCAAAGCTGGGGGCGAGCGAGCGGGCGCGGGGAGGGCG